TATTTAAGGGACTTGGGGCATCAGAGAAAAGTTGTGGCAAGTTGCTGGAGACACTCCTGCGATTATTGCACACATAGGGTCATGGAAGGCTAGTTGTGTCAGCACTGCTGCTGAAAATATATGTTCTTTATGGCTTTTGGTCAAGAAATATTTATTCAGTGTCTGCCTGTGTCAAGCACTTAGTTATACCCTGAGGATACAGAAATGAACCAAGTGTTCAATCTAGTTAGGGTGACAAACATGCGAACGTGTGATCATTATGAAACACAATGAAGGCTGTGATAGAAGCAGGTGCAAAATGCCCTGGAAGTACAGGAGACAGCCTGACTGATTCACTCAACCACAGGTATTTATTAAGATCCAAAAAACTGATAGGCATTGTTCTAGGTGCTAAATTTGTACACTAAAAATATTTTTAAATTAGAAAATGAAAATCTTCCAACATGTACCAGAGAATTTTTTTTCCACGTTTACAGCAGTCTTTTTGTTGCTTCAATCAGCAGTTTTGAAACATTGAAAAAAAGTGCCATCTAATTGGTGTGTTAGTTTAGGCAAATTTCAGAAAGAAAAAGGCTTATATGATTATTTTTTTGACACATTTCTGCTGATATTTCCCAGAATAAACAATCATATCCGCTCAAAATAAAATGTTTATGTAAAATAGAAAATCTATTAGCTTCTAGTTTGTAATGCCTTGTTTTATCGATGATATCATAGGAGCAACAGAACAACACAGCTCTCTTCAGGATGCCAGAATGATTCCCTACATTTAACAGGGGTCAAACAACTGGCAGTAAGAGTTAGGTTCTGCCTTCAGGAATAGCAGGACCCGAGTGCAGGGTGGTAGTCGACGGACTCACTCATGGCTGCTGTAAGTGCAAATGCATCCATGCATACAAATTTTTTAAAACTACTTACAAATAATAAAAACAATAAAAGATGCAATTTCTGGACTTCTTTTTGGAAATAGCACACAATCCTCCCACTGATATTTTAAATTTTCTACACAGCTTCTTCTAATGTCTTTTCATCATAGTCTTAAAATCATCTGTTATGGGCTGAACTGTGTCCCTTCAAAATTTATACGTTGAAGTCCTACCTCCCAACACCTCACTGTGACTGTAATTGGAGATAAAGTCTTTAGAGAGGTGATTAAGGTAAAATGAAGTCTTCAAGTTGGGTCCTAATCTAATGTGACTGGTGCCCTTATAAGAAGAGAACATTTGGACACAGAGAGATACCAGAACTGCTTGGGCACAGAGAAAAGACCATATAAGGACATGGTGAGAAGGTGGCCATCTATAAGCCCAGGAGAGAAGCCTCAGAAGAAACCAAACCTTCTCACACCTTAATCTTGGACTTCCAGCCTCCAGAAGTATGAGAACATAAATTTCTGTGTTTAAGCCAGCCAGCCTGTAGTATTTTGTTACGGCAGCAATAGCAAGCAAATATATCATCTTATCAACACATAACCTTTAAAAACTGTTAAAAAGTGATCCCTTTTGATGAATATTCTCTGGTACAGATTGTTCTCATCCAAACTGGTTACAAGCTGGCAGGGACATATTTTGTGGAGATACAGAGAAAGTACTAATGACTCCTTAAAGTATCTACTAGACCCCAATACTGGAGTTTCTGTTTTGGTTTAAGGCTTCCCTGCTTGTTGAAACATACTGGGATGGAAGAAGTATTAAAACTTACCAGTAAGTTATGAGTGTGTACATCAGGTTATCAGACCCTTTCCTGAGAGGAAATTGATGGAACAAAGCCCAAAGGAAAGAAGTGGAAAGCCACCAAGCTATTATGGTATGTCATGGACAGGGGTAAGTGGTCCAAAAGGATAAGAGAAAGAGTTGGCTACAGGCAAATTTTGGCAACTTGACAGTTTTCAAAAAGATCTGTATTGCTTTTGCATAAACAACATTTCTAAAATTCAAATTGAATTCTATTCTTTTTACACTATTATCACAATCCTCTTTAACCTACTGGATATTTTCCTATTATTTACTCCTCTCAAAATAAGTCAGATTTTTCTAGATTCCCCTTCTACATTGTCTATCAAATATAATTAAGGGGATGAATGTCAATTATTGATTAGGAAAACCTAGAAGGGATGATTGTGTCAGAAAACTCTAAACATCTTTATTTCTCTTAACAAAACACCAATGATCAAAACGCAAAGAGCAGCTACCCTGTGATCATCACAATAAATTACAGAATTCCAGTAGGCTTCTGAGCAAAGAAATGTGAAACATCTCAAGATCAGCTTCTCCCACTCAATTGCATCATCTGTTTGTTTTAGCTATAAGGTGCAAAATAATTTAGCTCTAACAGCTAGAGCAAGAGCCATTATGAACACTGCAACAAGATCTGTATCATAGAGTAAGTACTTATGCTTTCTAGAATAAAGCTTAACTGGGAATGATTTAAAGTCATAGATTCCAATATAAAGAAAAAAGTAAAACAGTGAAAAGATTTCCAGCTCAGGCTTAGAACCACAAATACAGGTTACGGAGGATGTGGAATTAATCTAAAAGTTACCTTTGATTATGACTACAAACAGGTCATCTGGAAATTCATTCATCTGAGAGCTTAGCAAAAGTAGGACTGACTCAATCTAACGATCACTTTCATCTATTCTATATCAATAGACTATCAGCCAACATAGAAAAACTCATTTTCTCCATTATATAGATTTTTTTTGTCATTAAATTTCCTGTTATATAAGTTCTAGGAGTAACCTGAGAAAATATATTTTATACTGTATTTATGCCTAGTTGATCTGATTGACTGTCTTTGCCAGGATGATCTAGGAATTATTCTTAACTTTTCCTCACTGGTCTTTAGGACAATTACCCTGTCAATTACCCAAATTTTACCATCCTTTATTTATTTCTGGGATTTGTTCTGGATGTTAATCCCAATAACAAACTATACTTGAAATATCTTGGTACCCCAGTCCCCCGGGGTGGTCCCTGGCACCACCCATATACGGTATGCCAACTCAGCCACAGCTGATTTGATAAGTAACATATAAGTGACCCTAGCTAACCAACCACATTCTCTCCAAGGAATACATATTGGAATTGGACCTAGGAGACATTAAGTTTAACTAGACCAACAATGAATTCTGTTAGTTATATTAGCTTGGTTATCAAATATGCAGAAGCAGAGAAAACCAATCTACAGAGTAAGAATGATGAAGCGGGACTGAAGAGAGAAGCATAGAGGAGAAACCAAGTGGAGAGAGAGAAAGAATGAGTGAGAAAGAAAGACCTAGAGACAGAAAGTAGCTGCCTTAGCTAACAACCGTCCCCTTATTCCTGGTTTTGTGCTATCTGAAAACACATCTGTCCTTCCTTGAGTTCCCTGCAATAATCCTGAAGCTTTAAAATAAAATTCTCTTTAATATGGATGTCAAACTTCTATAATAATATAAAATCCACAAAAATTCTTAGTGATATTCACCGCCTCCCTTTCTCTCAGGCACTAAAGTTCTACTCACAGTTTTCTGATTTCCCCTTAGATCTTCTCATCCAGACACCTAGGGACATATTGTTCAGTTGCTCACTTTAACTTTTCTCCATTTAAAACATACTCCATCCACAATCACATATAGCTTAATGTGACTTTAAGCCAACTTTGCCTGTCTCAAGGGCATTTACACTTTAAATATAGAGTTTCTCTTTCTTTCTCTCTCTCTCGCTCTCACACACACACACACACACACACACAAACTACACACATTTGGAGCTGTGGGAAAAATGGATTCTAATTAGTTCCTTTGAATTCATGTAACACATAAGGTTGCTGATGCCGCCCACACAAAAAGTTAGGACTGCCAAATTCACTTGAAAACCAAATGCTTTGGATGGTGTTTATTTTCAATTTATTATAATTAATGTGAAAAGTAACGTTCCCTATTTCAGGACATTAATTTTCAATGTGATGCCAATTGGAACTCAGAAAATTTGTAAGCAGAAAATTGAAGAGTCCTGGGAATCATATAGGTCAGTTACTACCCTAAAATAGCACCATTTTGGTTTAATAAAATGTTATTTTAAAATGCCAGAGACCCAGTTACTATTTACATCATGTATGATTGTACCAGATATAGATCACGTTATGTTTAGCACAATGAACTGGCTATACTATCCTTAGTAGCCTCCATTGGCCTCCTTTATAGCTTGTTGCCCTCCCTTGTAAAATGGTCATAATAAGGGTACGTACCTCATTGTGATGTAATAAATATTAAAAGAGATATATGTAAATCACATAGGGTTTCTTGCCCATTGTAAGTGGTAAGTGTTAACTACTGTTATAATCACACATCCTCAAGGTATTGTAGTATACAAATACATTAGATAGATATTAGCCTAATTCCATTTGGACATAAAAATAAATCATATTGGTAACATTCTTTTAAAATATTTGTTACTATTTTTTTTAAAGTCTTTCTAAGTATCAAACAAGATAGAGAAGTGATGAGTCCTAAAAAGAGGCCGAATCTAATCCAGCTTTTAATTGATTCTGAATCTTCTTGAGGTACAAAGACCAGTTTGCAAAATAGCCAAGTCATTCTTAAGTTTGTATATTTTAAGATATAGTTTTAATTCACTGACAAAGTGATTAATGAAATAATCATCCATTTTATCCAAGTGAACACTTCTTTAAATTCTTTTCCAAAGTCCATTTGAAGAAATGGTAGGGCTAATGTGTAGCCAATGAGTATAATACAGCATTATAAATGCTGTATCTGTTAAACAGCAATGTTAATTCCAGACCAGGTTGAAATTCAATAAAACTCAACTCTAATGTAGAAAGTCTTTTGTGAGTGTTATTACTTAAAATGAATTCTTTTATTACCCTAGTAAATTGCCAAATTGCTGGAATAAAGCCACCCAAATAACATTTAAATTTAAATTGAATAGAATGAGATGACACAATATAGAAATAGAACAAAGAATATATTTATTTCAAATAAACTTACTCATATTCTTATGAATCATTCCATGAAAATATTTTAAGTGATATAATGATATATATTTTGTTTTATTCCATGCTTGAAGATCAATCAAGTTATCAATTAATTGGTTATTCTCAATGATATGTCATGACTTTTCCCAGCTTAGCATCATAAACTATAGAGATTTGATCCCTAGACTTATGTTTGGTGCTCACACATTATTTAGTAATGGTAATCTCCTATTTGCTTTGCTATCTTCAACACTGAGCAGTTATATTTGTCAGTGGAGTGCTATAGCCTGTCTATTTCTACTGCTTAAATTTATTCCAGTATCTTTCCTTCCTTTTTTGATCAGCAACTACAACTGTGAACTTATGAAATCACCAAAGGTGAGAATCAAGATAGGAGAAAGGGAGGTAAAATTTAGACTAAAAGCAGCTCAACTTTCAATATGAATAACTACACTAGGTATGTGATTTTTTTTTTTCTGGGCCTAAGTTTAACTCACTATATTTTGAAACATTGTATTAAATAACATGAAAAATTGTTCTTAACAGGCATCTGTTGGATAAACAAATGAATGGATAGATTGGTGAACATTATTGCCGACAACCACTAATACACAAAACACAAATGTGCTCTCTTAATACGTGATGCTGCTTCCTTTGCTTCAATGGTAAATTTTCCCCCCTTAATTAATCTTGCCATACCTTGTCTCTCTGGGCAGTTTATTTCTGTGTTTTGAGTACTTATATCGGTTTTGATAGTTCATGTTACAAGGTAAAATGGCTCTTTACTTGCCAATTCCTCCTCTTTCTTTGATCTGAAAGTACCTATTTATTTATACTTTTCTTTCTTCAAAGAAATTTCCAAGTTTAGCTTCAGGCTTCAGACAAGTTGTTGTAGGCAGAGACTGTTAGAAACCCATGACCTGGCAGGAAGCTGCATTTTGAGCTGGGATCAGAGTTGGAGCAGAGAAAAGTGAGAACTACTTTTAGACAGGGAATCTAGGACAGGGCCCAAACCACCCGGAATATTAGCAGACGATGAAATGCAGGTTTGCTTTTCTAAATCAGAATAAGACTGGAAATATGCAGAATAATGTGATGGATTGACAAGGTTTTGTTTTGTTTTTCTGAGAGAAGCAGCTAGAAGCCCCAACAAGCTAAAACAAAAGAAACAATTCCAAAACAACTAAAGCATTTTGATTATGATTTTTGTTTTATACTAATTGTTTTTTCAGGCGTTCTCTCACTAATAGCTTCAGTGAGATCGATGACAATGGACTAGCATGACTCAAGTTTGTTTCTGGAATCACACTCTCTTTGTAAGAGTGACCAAAGAAGACAAGTAGATGATTTCAGAGATATTATTCTTAATTCACAATGAATATCAAAGTTAACAATTTCCATGGTTTCTTCATGTGTAAGAAACATCCTAGGTCAGAATAGCACTAAAACAAAGAACTAGTTATTGCTTCAAGCAAACACTGTGGTTGCCAAAATAGCTTACCAAAAAATGTGAAAAGTTTACTTTATGTATGAGGCTATGACCTAGCCAGGGACTACTTGTTTGATAGTCAAAGTCAAGGAACTTGAACTTGGGTAGAACTCAACAGCTTGCCTCTGGCAATGGGAATCTGGGTTAGAATTCTATACAGATCCCTCAACCATGCTGGTAAAACACATATCTCTTTAGGATAGGACACAGAATAATAAAACACAAAGTGCACAGGTTTTCCATAACCTTGCAAAAGCCAACTAGCACTTTTTAAGAGTTCTAAGATCACTCTCACCAGAGAACAGTGTTTCTGCATTAGCACAGAGCTATAAAGGGGATTAGAAGCACTCCTTAAATTGTTCAACAGCCTCAGCAGCAAAATTGTAGCGCTCAAATCTTGTAATCTGGAGAACAGGTATTTATTTTTATGCCTTAGCAAGCATTATATTTTATTTCACTTTTGAGAGTCACAGATGCTTGTATTTTAATGAAAATTTCTTTTGCAAAAGTGATAATATGTATGTTTGTGTTTTTTTTCTCCCCCTAGGGAAATGACTCTTATTTTTGTGCAAGAACTCCAGTATCCACACGATGCTTGGTGAGAAATACATCATTTAAAGTAATGAAGGAGAATTTCAAGAAGGATCAGGAGGAAAACAAACTATTTCAGCAAAAAAGTTTTAACTTGCAATTTAAGGTGATCAGCTAACAGGAACTTGCTTTAAAGGAAGGATACTGCTCTGCATATGTTTTCGTCATTTGCAAAAAGCTAAAGAATCTGCTAAAGCCAAGCGGTTTGGTCTTGGCAGCATGCAATCTCTCTATAGCATGCTGTGCTCAGTTATGTTCAGTGACTAAAAGCAATAACATTTTGATTCTAGACTAATATGTCTAGCTCTGCAATTGATTATAAGCCACTTTATGAGACAGTCTGAAATCCTTCCTGTGTCTACTAGTCTTGATGAGCTCCTTAGCAAAAAAAAAAAAAAAAATTAGCACTTTTGAAGCTTTCTTCCCCCTATTTTCCTAATGCCAAGACTTTCTAAATAAACCCTCTGTATTCTCTCCCCCAGCATGATTCACAGTGGGGTTGCAATTCCGAGTTGCTTGTGTTTAATTTGAGTTTAGGTGTTCAGGTGCTTATGTGGTTCTCAGCAATATCTTCTCATTTGTACTTGCTTGACCTGACTTGCTTCCATTTTTATTTCCCTAAAGCTCAGAGGTATGATATAAATGTCAATAAAAATTAATCTGTGGCCAGTACTAACCCCAAAGGACCTTCTCTATCTTAATAGCCCAGAAAGCAATTTTCTTTAGCAACTAATTTGTAACTATTTATTAACTACATATTAATATTATTCTGGACGAAGACAGTTCCTTTTGAATTTGAGTTGCTGAAAAAATCAAATGTTAGGGGATGGGTAATATTAGTGTACTTGAATGATTGCTGTTATGTCAAATACTACTCTTTATAGTTGAAAATGTTTTTCCTCTAGAGTATTTTAGCTTGATCAGTGGTGTTGAATTGACTGATCCAGTGGCAGAGCTCCTGTGTTTTTCAAATATCAGCTGCTGCACATAGTGACAGCATCAGCTCATGCCACCTCGGCTTGCCAATATAACTCAATGTATCTTAAATGGAAACAGCAGTTAACGCTGATTCAATCTAAGGCGCTCTTCTGAGACTGTCAATAAAGGAGTCGGTAGGTGCTAAATGTCACCTTGGTTTAGGATTGAGGACAGCTGCTCTCTCTGAAGGAGATGCAGATCAACACATTTGCCCCAGGTCATGGAGCAGATATATTAAATTCAATTCACTTTGGGCATATTCATACATTATTAATTATAAGTAAAAGAATATAGTCTATTCTAATTTTGAAAAGGATGATAATCAATTCAAATTTCAAAGTAAGTAAAGGCTTAAGGAAAGGATACAGTCATGGCTAACACTGAAAGAAGAGTTTAAATGATCTGGCTCCTGGAGATATGAGACAAGTAATTTTAGCCTCTTTGGACAACCATCCAAGTAAGAGTAAAGAACATGAAAAAAAAAAGAAGGTGGAGAAGTATACACTGATATAGTTACCCCTGCCAGGGCTATGCAAACAAAATGGACACTGTGGCCAAGGCTGAAGTGTTAGATAGGAGTCAGTCTAAGAAGTTATTGGAGCTTGTAAGTCACGAGTTCAGCTATGCATTTTGGCGACAGTGGTGATAGTCAGAGGAAGGAGTGACAATTTGCACACCACTGGTGCTTTTCAGGGTGAAGGGAGAAACAATGCAACACTGACAGAAAACTTACAAATTGCCAAGGGCCAGTTCTTTCTCCTTTTTCCTCCCTAGACCTCAGGCTGATTTTCTTTTGCTCTTACTTTGGTGAGGGCAGGAATTTAACCTCTATGCTGCCAGTGGGCGTGTCCCCTGATTGGCTTTTTTTATGAGCTATCTGGCTGTTCTTTCTCCTTGCTTGACTGCCTTTGGTGGTAGCCTACCGTATGTTTCTCAGGTACAGAATCACTATCTACTGTGTTCAGCCTCATACGTGGCACTCAGTATACATTCAAAAGAAGAATACTTTCTCCCCTGTAACTCCAAATTCCTCTCATAAGGTCCCCTTGGCCCGAGTCTCAGATTCCATTTAGGAATGATCCTGCACACCTGAAGCACTTATAACATGTGTGAAGATTTTATTTGTGCCCTCAGGTACTCAATTACATTTATTGAAACATTTTTTCAAACCATGGTGTGGCCTGAGACTTGGGATCAAAAGCACAGAGTTGCGGATAAAGAACGTCCAAAATGCCAGAACTATGTGGTATCTGTTGCAGTAATGGTGTGAAAGAGCCAGAAACAAGAGAAAGGGCACTTCCTTAGATAATAAAAACATTAATCTGGGTACAACTCACCTTCCAGCAGAGCAGAGGAACAGAAGAGTGGGCCATGATAAGAACTGATGAAATATTTCACATGCTGTCAATTAGTTCTAAAGAAAGGAAATTTAACAATTTGCCTGTCTTCTTCACAAGAAAGCTCTGGAGGTGGGGGGTGGGGGGTGGGGCAGACACTAAAAACAAAACAGCAAAAATCCCAAGAGGTTAATTTTGTCAATGACTAAAGAGTAAATATTTCTACTATATTGAAAATTCTGAAAATAAATACTGGGTATTTTGCCTGGGGTTCTAAAGAAATTAAAGCAAATTTAATGGAAGTTCAAAACTGAATTTAATAAAAAATAAAACGTTTCCCTGCTTTATCCAAGATTTTCTTCAGTTTTTTTGAGTAAACATGTCAGTCAAAAAGGGGGCTTGCTGAATATTACCTCAGACAGACATTACTATCGTCTCTAATATTAAGTCTAATCATACAAGGGTATATACAAATGCAGTGGAAGAGTTGAGTAGTTTTAAGGTGGGTTTAAGAGCAACACTTTTAACAGTTGACTAATCTCAATGCAACCTCATTTCCCTCTTGCTCTGTTTCCTAGCACATTATTAAATAACACTTTTAGTTTTAGTTTTGTTTATTTTCTTGAAAATTCATCTAGCCTACAGTTACTCTTTACGTCAAGAGCAAGACAGAATTGCAATGTAATAGGGACTCAGGTAGGTCAATAAACATGTAATAGGGTTCCAACTTAGCAACTAGCTAGTTATAAGGTCTTAGATCAGTCACTTTGCTTCTGTGGGCTTCACTTTGCTCATTCATAAAAGGTAGGATAAGGACTATGTCAATGTTTTCAAGCATTTAACCAACAAATGTCTAATGGTGTAAGAGATTCAGTGATTTTGGAGGGGAGGAGAAGGAAAAGGATCAGACCAAAAATAAACGAATAAGAGACAAATTCTTCGATATCCTCATTTAAAATTTACATTCCTCTTCACAATATATTGGTGTATAAAAATAATGTTCCACATTGCCTCTATAAATAAAGAACTGCAATCTATCTGTCATGTATTTTTTTCAACACTGAACAGGTAAATTTTAGAAAATTGTGCTGGATGAAACTGTTACCAAAGATCAGGGTCAATGTTCAGGCAAATTCTCTGCTCTCCTTTGTATTACAGTTTTCCTAGAACCTTGGTTTACATAAACACATGGATACAAGTGGTAAGAGTACATTTTTAAAAACTGCTTTGTAAACGATGACACTGAGGAGAGATGACCTGAATATATGGAGAAAATGAATGGTATAACATTTTCAGAACTACTGTTGTTGGCAATTTTAAGAAGCAGTTTCTTAATGAGCAGCAAGGTTGCTTTTGTCATATAGTGGACACAAAATGTCTCTAATTGAGCATCTTACACCTTTTAATGCTCCTTTTACTGAGTACTTCATCCAAAGACTCTTTGTTCAGTATGGAGAGATGGCTAATATCATACTTCCTTATTTTAACATCATTACTAATTCTAATCACATGTAAATGGCTGGTGTATAACTTATAATACCCATGACCTCTTTACCAAGATCAAGCTTCATATCCATCACTGTCTTTTTCATTGTCACAATTTTGGCTTCAAGTTGTTGATTTAGTCGTGGTTGGCTTGACAAAATATTTACTAAATGAGCCAATTTTTTCATGGACTATAAATTTATTTATTGATTCAGAGTTATAAATACATATAATCTTCCCTTCTCCCATAAAAATAATAAATCAATGGTGAGTTGAAGGACTATTTACAGTATATTTCTCTTCCTTGGTAATGTATATCTGTGAACTTACAATTTTAATTATCACATTAAGATCTTCGAAAGATAGTCAAGTGGATGCTCTTTTGACACATTCTCTCTGGTGAGGATACATTGCTTGTTCAGGAATTCAGGGTGTGGACTGGATACCACTCCCAGAATTTTCATTCTGATAAAACTTTACCTATCTAAAACAAATACATAGACAAAGAGAACAGATTAATGGTCACCAGAGGGAAGGGGGGTTGGAGGGTGGGCATAAGGGGTAAAGGAGAAAAATGTACAACTGAAATTTCACTATGTTATAAACTATTATGACATCAATTGAAAAAAAAAAACTATACCTATCTATACACCATGCTTACAAAAACAACAAATAAAAACCACTTGCATATTTTCTCAAACGTGTCTGAAGTTACCGTTGTAATAAACACAAACAAATTTGTTAAGTCATTAACTTCTACCCTGTCATCACTCTAAGATAAAGAATGAGATTAACCTCTGACTTCCACTTGATCTTTTAGGTAGAGCTCTGAAGCACATTAACATGCATTGTTTGATTGTGTTATTTGAGAAGAACTTTTTTTCTTTTTTTTTTGCCTTCACTGTCCTTTTTCATTCTAAACCTATTCAGTCATGTATATGGCATCTGGCAGTACCCAATATTTACCTATTATACTTCACAAGCAAAGAGGATGCCAAAACTGGCTATAAATGAATCTTCAAAGGGTATATTTCTTTCTTATTCATGTGTTCTTCATCATGTTTACTTATTTACCAAAAAATTTTTCTTGTGCTTTTATTGCAAAATTTGCATGATAGTTTTTAAAAATACGTCAAAATAATAACATTTAATGTCATTATTTCTCTCATATTTTCTTCTTAAATAAGTATATAAGTACTTAGCTTTAGATGGAATGTTGTTACTTAGTATTAATTTACTAATAATGGTTGACTTAGCGCTATTGGTTCTTAACTGTCTGGCAGTTTATAGAAAACCCCTGGAATAAGACCAAGTTAGTCAGAGTCCTTTAAGGTATTAGATCTTCTGCACTTCAATATTTACATATTTTCATTGATTTCCAGCTCATTTACAAAGATTCTTATTTTTAATGTGAATCAATCTATGCCACTTAAAATACACTTTTTTCTCCCATTTTAAATGACATAAAATTTAGAGATAATTCTTTAAAATACGGAATTTTTGATATTTTTCTAAGGTCAGAGAACCTTGTTCTTCAGGAGGAATAACAAAGCAAAACCATATATTTGCTAAAAATAAATTACCTGGAAAATCTATGAAAAGACTAAACTGATTTGAGGTTATCAACTTTTCTTGATGCAAAACAAACTGTCAAAAATTACTGACATAGTGTAATATACTCCATTCCCCCAAAATGTGTATGGCCATCTGCTGAATCAACCACATCTTCCATCCAGACCAGCAAAGAACAACCAAACCAGACTTTCCACTCCTCTTTTCTAGCAGAACAGCCACAGGCCCTAGTGGGCCAGACTCCTGACGAATCTGCTCCTGTGGTTTTAGTTGCCCGAGAAAACACTTCTCCCTCTAATCGTGAGGTAATACTCAAGTTTCTGGAGGATGTCCAGATGTCTCCTCTAGTTTTCCACAAACACTGGAAGATCATGTTTCCCTCGAAAAAGTGATGGATGACAGCTCTTAGACCCTTCATGCACTAAGATCCTGTAATTAGGCATCTTTGGTGCCTGCCTAGTTAGAGCATGTTAGTACAAGTGATTTATACTTAACTGACTGTTTCTTTGTGTACGTTCGTTTATTTTATTAGTGATTTTTACCAGTTTCTATTTAGACTAATGCATGTTGATTATAACTGAGACAATGTAAAAAATGTATTAAGCAAAATAATTTCTTCCACTCTTCTGTCTCCCATAGCCCACATTTCTTGAGTTAACTGTTCCTTTTAACTATTTCTCCATGCTCATATAAAAATACACAGCTATATACACTTGTATGAGTATTGTCCTTTATTGTTTTGGGTATTATTGCCTTATTTTTTTTTTACATGATGGACATATTCCTTCAGATCTGTAGATGTGGATCTAATACTTTTAATAGCTGTGTAATAGCCTCCATGTGGATTACCATATTTATTCAAACAGTCTTCTCTTGATGGATATTTTTGTGGTTTGCATGTGTTTGCCTGGATAAGCAGCACTATTATACATAAACTTGGTACTTCTATTCTTGCCTACTTGCATTTTTATTTATGTAGTAGAGCTTTTACATAATTGTTCAGAGATTTTACGTATTTATAATTTTAATAAGTATTGGCAGATGCTTTGCAAAATGGTTTTTTGGGCTTCAGCTCTCACGAGCAGTAGCATTTCTCCCAATCTGGTTATAGGGGCAAAAAACTTTCATTATGTTTTAGTTCACAGTCCCCTGACAACTAATGATATTGATAGCTTTTTTTCATAGGTTTATTGGCTGTTTTTATGGGAAGTCCCATTAATATCATTTCCTCCTTTTTTCTATTGGATTATTTGTATCTTAAAAACATTAATCCATGGAAGCTTAATAAATATTAGTTGAAAGAAAAGAAAAAATTATAGATTATTCACATGTTGCACAGATGCAATTTGCTTAACTCTTTGAGTTCATTAGGGTATATCTATATAACTGAATAAATAACACCCTTCATGATCAGATACAAAAAGTGTCCCAACTAAAATGAAGTATTTATTCATAAGCATCAGAGACCAAAGAGAAAAGACAGACCAAGTAGAGTTTGGGATAACTGGATATGTTTCTGTCTTTTATATGAGAGGTGGCCTTGATTTTGTTTTTTATCTTAAAGCTCTTTGTTTCTTCATATATTATTATTTAAATGGATTACAGAAAGATGTTTTGATAACCATCACACGATTCTTTAATTCTTTGATAGAGGAAATTATATTTTTTGCCTACAATTGTATTTCATGACCTAGTATCTCTCCTCAAATTACCACCTCTAGGCCATTCTAGAAAACATCCTAAAAGATAAATGAGCACTAGAAGAAAAGAAAAATTAGATATTCTCACACTATTCACTTAAAATTCACCAATAATGTCAACAACAATCAGTCTGAGTGACACAGTAAGTTTATCTTACTTTATAATGCTTCCAGTTATGGCTGAACCTCATGTTTCCCAGAAAGGCAAAAAGAAAGGAAAAGTCAAATGATTACTGGAAAGATTCAATATTGATAGGACATTTACCAGATAAGAAAGAAAAAAAAATCTGTACCTGCATGACTTGATCATATTTTGGACACTGACCTAAATATGTTTCATGAGAAGTTGTATTTTATAAAATTTTATAGCATATATCTTAAATATTTTCTTAAATAATCAACCCATAGACATAGACTAACGGAAAACAAACTATATATGAGTATTCACTTGCCTTAAAATTTGTGATAAAAATCACCTCATCTTTCTTTGGGAATGTAATGTGTTCTACTTGTTACTTTTTGGAAGCTCTGATTTGGTTTAATTCCTAGCACCATATAATTCAGGGTAAAAGTAGGCAAGCAGAAATTCGTGAATTAAATTTTGAAGTATAAAAGAGATGTAGAACCTAGAACACCAAAGTTTGGAATGAATGAAAGAATTAATTTTTCCATAATGCAATACTCCTTCAACATTTATCTAGTGCCTGCTATATGCCAGACAACACCAAAGCCAATAATACAGATAATGTCTAAAATTGATAGAGAGACGCTCTATGTCAGACTAATTGGAATCAAATTCATACCGTAACCTCTAAGACTGAAAATCTAAGGCTAATACTGTTTTCTCTAGTGGCTGTAGAAAAGAACAACTATGCAGTATTTTTTTTAACACAATACCTCATTAAATGTATTAATCTGGAAGAAATGAAAACACTGAGGCATATAAGAAATATACAAGAAAGATACTAAGAAAATAAGATAATAAGAAAGATAATAAGAAAACTAAAGAATGAAAGAAAGAAATGAAAATAGGACAGAAGGAAAAGGAGCAGTGAGGTGAAAAGTAAATATCTGGTTGTAAAATGGTCATAGTTTTCAGGCTATTAGATGCTGCCAGTGTAGTTGACCTTTTCTTCTAACCATGGGTTTTTTTAGAGCACTGTTTCTCCATAAGTACCTAGAAAGTTAGGGGCAGGGAAAGAATGGCAGGGGAAATAGGGAGATGCTAATGATTGCCATGGGCTAACTGGAAATGAGCATTAAAATTAAACTTTCCCTTTCTTAAGGAATTAAAAGCTGCCTTGCAGGACATTTGGTCCTATCCAAAGTGTCCAGGAGCATATTTGGTCCACACCAAATGGTTTTGGACAAGACCAACACGAAAGGCCTTTTGGCATGGACCCAATGTCTATGGACATCTTGAACAGGACCAAATATGACCAAATATTAAGGACTTTTTGGCATGGACAAAATATCTTATGGACCAATGTTTCATGGACATTTTGGGCACGACCAAATGTCTGCTGATCAAAGCTGAAGTAGAAGAAAATGGGAGGTGATTTTGACATTTCATGTAATGCCAAGGTTACAGTGTCTGGGATAAGGAAGGGCAAAGTGTCTCTCAACTTGGGTTAAGAGATTGGTGTGAATTAGTTAGAATTGGAGGTAAACAAATGTTTAGATAAGAAATCATGGATAAGCCTAAGAACTAATGAGAGATTTAACGTAGATGTCTATTTTCATAAGGTCTTAATATATAAGCTACAAATATGGTTCTGTTAATGACATTTGGTAATGCCAAGAATTAATATGGTAGCTGCTTTAATTATGAAAAGAAGCATTTTAATAATATATACACTTGAGTAAGAAATCATAATAAAGGACCACTAATGGGTTCCTTATATCAATCTTGGAGGAAAAGCATTCAAATTTCAGGCAAAGGACCAAAAACATCTTCAGGTAGTTTGAGGAATCATGATACTGAAAACCCAAATTTTTATATTTATAATCAAGGTAATTTGGTCAAAGACAATATTCTTTCCTGGATTTTTGCTTGTTTGATTGTTTTCATTTAACTTATTATATGGCAGCAGGGTGGGGAGAAGGACAGTAAAAATGATAAAAAAGAACAGAAGGACACCAGTTTAAATTAGATCGACTATTTTGTCTTGTATTCATCGGAGCAATATCCTAGATATGTAAAAAAAAAAAAAAAACTGTTTTTGAAAATTGTGTATTTGTACCTTTCACATTTGCAAGCACCATTTTTTAAAATTAAAAT